GTGAAATAAATTAGTGCAAGTTTTCATAGCGGCATACTTCAACAATTATACTATAAAATAATTGTTAGTTTGTCATGTTGTTAAATTATTTTAACTTGATTTTTAGATTTAGTGGGAAAATGAAGCCGGCATTACATACCAAAAAAAAATTAAATTAAATTGACGTTATATTGTCTGTTGCGTGTTCAAAATAAGAACACTGGTTGATTTAAAAACAAAACTGTCAGACAGTGACGATGCGAAGTGATGTCAGCATTTGACAGCTTATTAGGCGACGTAGGCTGGAGGCGCCTGTCGAGGAATGCAGAGTTATGAATCAGCAAGACCGACCATCAAAATAATGGCGGATTTGGGGCTCCCCTGTGTTGCTGTTATGCCTTCATGTTTGGACACACAGTTTTATAGACGCGGCAGAATTTATTACATCGATTGTTTTATTTGATATGGGGAAATGACCTGCATGTGTCAAATAATATGACTATTGCTATCTATAAATATTCGATATACAAAAAATAAGGATAAGCATAGGAAATTGGAAAACTAAAGCTAGTGTTTTTTTTTTTTTTTAATAACTAACATAATAAAATTGCACATAACTAAGAAATTAAATTAGACCTAAGTTACCATTTATGGTTAATTTGGATAATCTAGTGATGCCCACACTAGGCAATGCCTGTATCGTGGGCACCGATATTCAGATAAGTATATAATATTCAGTCCACAAAATTACAAAACCCACACTCACGACACTTTAGCATTTAACAATTCAGTTACTCCGGTATACATATAATAAAAAACAAAATTTAAGCTAATGAAAAGAAGAAAAACTTAAGTTAAATATATAATATAAATGTGTATGTACGGATATATAAATTGATAAGAGATAAATATGTTAAAGGCTCTAGGATTGTATCTTCAAAAGATTCTCAGTATCATTATAATTTAAAGTTAGCAGCCACTTCAGTAAGGTAGATTTGGCTTGTGGTAGGGATTTTTCTAACAAGTCGCAGCGTTTAACTACAGAGTTATAAATATGAAATTGAATAAAGGAGCCCGTGCGTTGTGCGAAGTAGGATTTAACTGATGGCATAGGTAAAAGGTAGACTCTGCGAGACAACCTACTTTTGTGTTCAGCGAATCCAAGCAAACTTTTATGAACCATCATCACAGTTTTGTACACGTATAATTGCCTTACGGTAAGAGTGTCAGAATCTCTGTATAGATCTTTGGTGGGGTACCGAAAAGGTTTTCGCAGCATAACTTTTAAGACGGAACGTTGAGCTCTTTCAATTCGGATCATATTGGTAGCACTCGCAGAACCCCAGCAAGTTATGCAATATGTCAGAAGAGATTGGCACAACGCAGAGTATATGCTTTTTAAAATATCTAAACTGCTTACATCTCGTAGTTTTCTCATGATACCAATAACTCTTCGGACTCGAGAGGAAAGCGATTCAATGTGGTCTTTAAAAGTTAATTTTTCGTCTATGAGGACTCCCAAATATTTTACTACAGTGTAAGAACTTACTTTAAAAATCAACAATGGTCTAATGGTCTAGGAATAAGCTAATTTATTACTAGTATTTTAAATTTAGAATTAAATAAAATAAGAAGAAAAGAAGAATTCGTTGGGGAAATAGTCCTGGCAACTTTACCTGTGTTGTAAAAAAAAAACCGCAAAAGTTGAAAGACTTCACGCGATTTTAATATCGATAATAAATAAAACACCTAAATCGAATAAACGATTACAAGAACCTAATTTTTCACTAAAACAAAATTAACGAGTTAAGAATTGAACACATTTCAATTAAGCAATCATCAATTAAGAACGCAGGCAGTAAAGTGTCCGTGGAAGTGGTGCGTTAATAATGAAACAATTAGCCAACCCAGTACCTACCACAGAGTAATTAACTCGCCGTAAGTCAATTACGTACCGATAATGTAGAGGTAATAACATTACTCTGTGCCACACCATAACATCTGTATTATAATCTTAATTCATAATAATTAAAAAAAATAAAATAGCTGTACTATACTATACACTAACTAGCTATCGCCCGCGACACCGTCCGCGCGGGATTAAAAATAGATGTTGGCCGATTCTCAGACCTGCTCAATATGCTCACAAAATTTCATGAGAATCGGTCAAGCCGTTTCGGAGGAGTATGAGAACGAAAATTGTGACACGAGAATTTTATATATAAGATTGATTAGTGTAAAGGCCGGTCAAGAAACAGAATAACAATATTTTGGCACACAAATTATATTGAACTTAGTACAAATATATATCTTATTACTTTATAGTAAAGTCTGTTTTTGTATCCCATTGCAGTCACCCCAGACATGTTAGGTGGTTATCTTCAGGGGTTACTGAATCATGTCACTACGCTCAGTACTAACCTAAAATATTAATTTATTAATAATTACTGTTGCACACGCAAAGATATTCATAATACGTAATAATGAACCATCGGATCGTTGTGTTATTTTCCAAATCCAAAGCACTTAAAAGGTTAAAAGATTTACCTAAGTGTGTCACATGCTAACACTTGCAACGCTACCAAACTTTTATTGACCAGCGTTGCACCATGCATACCTACGCAAAATCATAATTACATTACATTGCCCAAATTATAATTAAAAAAAGGATATTTTGTTACATTGAAAACGGTGAAAGGTGACAATGTCTAAAACCAGTTACCGCAAATTGTACAGTCAGCGTCATATAGATCGTAACAGACAAGATATGCAAATATATAGGTACACCAAAAGTAATCAATTATATCGGTACAACAAAAGTCCTCAATTAATAGATACATTCACCCTGCTCAAATACATCGGTACATACACAGCGTCAAATATATGTGTACATGCAAGGTGCCCATAAATATCGTAGCAGCCACAGCGTCATAAGTAACGAAGCAGTCAAGGTGTGCAAAAATATCGTAACATTTGACAAAATTGAACTCTATCTCTATATACTTGTGATAGAATTTGGAATAACCCGATAGCGATTTGGAGAAACCGATAGCGATTTGGAGAAACCGATAGCGGTCACAGAAGGCGTGCACCAAGGCTCTGTACTTAGTCCCTTTCTGTTTTGCGTAGTTCTGGATTCGCTCACCGAGGCAGCGCAAACTTCAGCTGAGTGGACCTTCATCTATGCAGATGATATAGCTATCTGCGCCGAGAGCCAACCAAAGTTACAAGAGGCACTCCTGAATTGGAAACACCAGTTGCAGACCGGTGGTCTTGTGTTGAGTGTTGCAAAGACCCAGTACATGTCCTTTAACAATCCAAATTTAAGCGACAACCGGCCGATTCCTATCGACGGTCAATTAGTCACCATGTGCGAAACCACCACACCTTACCTTCCAAAAAAAAAAATTAAAATAGTAGGTAATGTATTGCTTAACATAGCAAGTCTTCTCTGTTTACATATGATAGTTATTTGTAAAACGTGGCCTTAAGTTGTTCCTAGCCGTGAATGTTTTAAAAACTGTTCGGAATGTAAACTTAACCAATTGAATATCGAAATAAAATGACAATATTTGTCTATCAGAGAAACAAGATTCTGTGCTCGCCCGTCTTAGTTGTTCACAACAAAGTGCTCTACAATGTCACATCGAAATAAATTAATTCCGGTCTATTGAAGAAGCAGGAAATGAATAAGAAAAGGAAATATGGAACTATTACAATGATTAAAGGAAACATAACTCTACTACGAGGGTATATCCACGACCTATACAAATATTGTCATAAAATCAAACAACAAAACAATCACACACACAATAAAACAAAACAAGAATCAAATGCATTTTTGAGACTGTCTTCAAGTATATAACATACTATGTCTATGGTTGACAAATAGTGTGTAGCATTCGGCGATGATAATGTCGGTGAACGTTATGTTTGAACATAGCTTTAATAACATAGATTCAGTCACGTCCAATGGACTGTAAGTACTTTCTCACGAATCGCGGCGGTTCTAGAGACTATATAAAGCGACGAATGGCAAACATGAGGTCAGTCGATGCGAGAACTTCGACCCGGCAAGTCGTATCGGCACTTGAACGAGCCGCCTATGCAACAAATGCTAAGAAGAAGAAGAAGAAGAAGAAGAAGAAGAAGAAGAAGAAGAAGAAGAAGAAGAAGAAGAAGAAGAAGAAGAAGAAGAAGAAGAAGGATTGATTTGCAAAAAACAGTGAAAGTGGTAAAAACATTTTTTTACAACAAATCGATTAGTACTAAAATTTACCACTGCCGTGCGCTGTATTATTTATTTCACTTGGAAAGTAAAACTTTTATATCTGATGCGTATTTATTCAACCTTGAAAACTATTGTCATATTAAGAAATGTCATATTTCGAGAACACGTTACGAAATATACTGGGCCGATGGTCCAACAAGAGTAATATGACAGGGTGGCCCTTACACCCACACGCTGCCCACGCGCCGTCCGCGCCTTGAGCAAGACACGACAAGCGGGGAAAGTGTAACCGACTTAATTACTATCACCGGCCACTCTGATAGGCCTTAATTGATAAGCTATCTTAATTATACTACGACTTTCCCTTTCACAACAGATTTCATGCTACAATGCAATTGATAGATTGTATTAAACGAAACATTAAAATCAATGTTAAAGATGAAAGATAAATTCCAGGTATTTCTGAAGTTATAATTAAAGCAACTGATTTACTTTTGAAACATTAATATACGAAAATAAACGAAGAGTTGTAGATAAGTAGACAGTACCGATAAATTGGTAAAGAAAAAAAAAGTTTCGGAAAAGCGTTTATTGTTGGTTTTTAGCCGACTTCAAAACGAAGAGTTTACTCAAAAAAATCATAAGTGAAGGTCCAAAGGAAAGCCTACTGCAGCGTAGTGGAGTTACAATCGTAGACCCAGCAGAATTGTTTTCTAATGAATATCCTAATTCGGTTAATATTAGAAAGAACAAATATTACCCCTTCACCAATTTTAACAAATACACCAACCTTTTTGAACGAACTCTGGTATATCTCCAGGTGTTGCTACTATAGTGCCCCGAACTGGAAGGGCAGAGTAACAGCTGCAAGCTGTTCGGTCGCGGCTGTCTTTGCTTCTTGGTTCTCAGCTTAACTACTTCTTCGATTTTTTTCGTTTCTTTGATCGGCGGTTTCTTCGAGTCGACACTCCATCGATTCCTCTCATCGATTTGATTATCTTCATCATCCACCTCCTCGAGATTCAAATGATCCAGTCTATCTTTAATGAAACTCCTGGATCTCAATAAATCCGGGGTCAGATCTATTTTGTTCTTTCTAAATTCTAACGGCGATGTCGGTGGCCTTCTAGGTTCGAATACCACCTTGGTATATTCGTTGCTCCGACGCCACAAACGAGGCGATAGGGGCCAAAATCGCCCGTTATGTTGCGCGGACTCCATTACCATTTTCGCCGAAATACACTTTAAATATAACAATTCAGTGTACACATCAAACACAAAATTAGCGACTTTATCGACGTTCACATATCACTGATTAAACTATAAACAGAATGACCAGTTAGGGACATTTTTTATTTTACAATAAACAATCACGATACAAACTTTTTAGTTGGTATTGGATCGAGACGTCTGCGACATCCGATAGCGATTCATTGACTACACAAAGGATGAACGGAAAGTGCATATCAATATCCCCCCCTACAAAGTAATCACAATGCGTAACACCTACGACAAATTCTCGATAAGTCAACGATAATGCGGATGAATCAATTGATAGTAAGAATTTTTAATGTAATACCAGGTAACAGAAAATGTACGGATAAATAGTTTTTCCTTTTTTAGGGACGTAATAGCAAAATACCATTGGTTTCTGAGATAAAAATCTCTGGATAAAACATCTCATCATCCCTATCATCTTTGACAAAACGGATATACCAATGTTTCAAACGGATTTTGGTCTCAGAAACCCATGATTAAATTTTGTAATAATTATCGTGGTTTCCTATAGTTCAAGTGCAAGTATAATAAGTGGTTTTCTCTGTTTTTTTTTCAAATAGAATGAGAGATATGACAATAAGTTGTCAGTTGAAATCCACGTTACGAATACACATAGATATCATATTTTGATGTCGCGTATCTGTTCGGAATTTAATCTCGTACCGTAACAAAAATAAAAACTAAAAATGTGTTAATATAACGTCGTAAGCTTAAACATTTTACCGTTAAACGGTAAAACATATTGAATATCAAGTTTGTATATTCATATAAAAATGTTTGCCAATTACTAAAACCTGTATTTATCTTGTCCAATATCAACGATTTCTCTCATTTGCTTTGAAACAAACAGAAATAAACACACACAGTGAGCGTCGGTGGCTCAGTGGTCAAACCCTTGACTTGCAATTTGCAGGTCCTGGGTTCGAATCCCGCCATGTACCAATGTGTTCTTTCGATCTCCGATTTACATATGTACATTTATCCGACGTTCTTACGGTGAAGGAAAACATCGTGATGCAACCTGCACATATCTGAGAAGAAATTCAAAGATATGTGTGAAGTCAACCAACCCTCACTTGGCCAGCGTGGTTGACTATGGCCTAATCACCCTCAACTTAGGGTAGGCTCCGTGCCCCTCGGTGGGGACGTATAGTGAGCTGATGATGATGAAACACACAGCATATGTTTCGGTAGAGAAACCATAACTAAAAAATAATCTGTGGGCATGGCAGTGCCTCCGCCGAGGTAAGCATAATTAGTAACACAATAAACCATTTCATCTTAACTATAGCTTAAAGTTAAAATGAAAGTTGAAATGAAATCTTATTTTGCCTACATTTCGTATAAAATGTTCGTTGTACCATTTAAATGATTTTATAAAATTTATGGCACCATATCTAGTGACATAAAAGTGACCATCGTACCATTCTCTAGGTTTTGATGCATATACATGTTAACGCCCACGAGTTCGTCCGCATTGTGTCTCGAGTTCGATTCAGCTATGATATATTATTTCCATAGTAAAATGACAGATATAACGAAGTATTGTCTCTACGTGGTCTATATCTTAAAATGAAGTCAATAGAAATGTACTCCAAGTACTAATAAATTTAATTACATTTATTTAAATTGAATTAAAAACACACTTTTACACTTTAACACTTTTAGTGCCATTACGTGTTATGTTACTAAGTTTAGCAATTGGTAGCGTTGAAAGTGTTAACATCGAAAGGTTTGTTGTTCGTATATCAAGATTCGGTAAGAAGTTCATTTGTGAGTACAGATAGAAAAACAAAGTGTTCGGCAACTTAATCTTACTAGTATTATAAATGCGAAAGTTTATATGGATGGATTGTTTGAAGGTATCTCCGGAACAGCTCAACGGATCTTGACGATATTTACCCAGATAGAACATAGTCTGGAAGAATACATAGACTACTTATTTAGTTTTTAAAACCAAAGACTATCAAGTCTTCCAAAGTCCAGACTATGGTCTATCTGGGTAAATATCGTCAAGATCCGTTGAGCTGTTCCGGAGATACCTTCAAACAATCCATTCATTTAAACTAATTTCTCCAATCAATCCATCCATTTAATCTAATTCATGTCCTTATAGCTACAATCATAACTAATCGTGTGATACTATGACGTCATCGAGGTAACCATCAAATATTGCATAAGAGTAGCCATAATTGTATAGGACGTATCGTTGCGTCGCAGCATACTAAACGACCGTCAGGAAGTCGCATACATTACACAGGACAATCCTGCCGTTGATATGCAAATGCGATCTAGTACGGATAGCGAGCTCTAGCCATTACGCGAACACTATGTCACTCCCGTAACCAACGATAACTATGAAAATCTCTTTTTATATGACATATCAAATGTTTGCAAAACTATATGCAATTAAATCAATATATATAAAAGAAAGTCGTGTTAGCTACACTATTTATAACTCAAGAACGGCTTTACCGATATGGCTGAAAATTGGTGAGGAGCTAGCTTAGAGCCAGGAGACGGACATAGGATACTGTTTATTCATTTTTTTCGAATTTATGCCTTGAAGAGCTGCACATCCATATGTGATGTGGATGGATGGATGGGTGTTTGAAGATATCTCTAGAACGACTGAACGGATCTCGATTTAATTTGGCATACGTATAGAACATAGTCTGAAAGAGCACATAGGCTGTACTAATTAAGTTTTTTATATATCCACGCGGACGGAGTCGCGGTCGACAGCTAGTTTAAAATAAAAAGAAGCATATTCGTCCTATAAGTCGATGCCAAGTCAGAAACGGGTTATAGAGCAAATCATAATATTTGTATGCCAAAGTATATTTCTAATGTTTTCCGAACCGACCGCGATAAAAGCGCCCCTCAGCGCGATGAAAGCATATGAAACTCATACGATTAGACGGTTGCGGTGAATCACAGGAAATGTTGGGGACGTGCTCATTGTCCTGTGGTCTGACTCAGTCTATGTTCTACAAAACAACACAACACAATCAATATAAACACTACGATTATGGTCGAACCGTGTTTTTAAACTAAAGCCTGGTACTAAAAGCCTCACATATAAAATTAATTATTTACTAGCGGTCGCCCTCGACTACGTCAGAGGAGAATTAAAATGCCTATAATATGCCCGTGTGCATCAACTACCTTTCCGTCTTAGTTCCGTCAATTTCTGTTTAGCCGTTCCGGAGAATACCAGGAACAAAACGCGTACTTGCGGACAGACATAATGTTGTATATTAAAACTCATTTAGAACACTGGCCGTAACGAACGATTGTAATATTACGAGTATATACATATATGTCAAAAAGTAGTGACGTTTATAGTTTAGGAAAAAAGTAAGAACGTGTGTCTGCAATAAAGAACCTAGAAAGTGAGAAATAATAGTGTTCGAGCGGAAAATCCTTAGGCGTATTTTTGGTGCCGTGTGCGAAGACAACCAATGGCGAAGCCAGTGCAACCAGGAGCTCTATGACTTGTACCAGGAGCTGCACGTGGCGGGACACATCAAATTGAACAGTCTTAGATGGGCCGGCCACGTGGAGCGGATGGATGAAACCAGAGTCCCTAAGAGTGTTATGGCGAGTAATCCCGAAGGTCGTCGAAGTCGAGGGAGATCAAAGCTCTGATGGATAGACGGCGTAAATAAGGACGCAAAAAAAGTGGGCATAGCAAATTGGAAGTCCGTGTCCAGAGATAGACCGAGGTGGAAAAAGTTGTGGGACCAAGCCAAGGCCCACAAAGGGCTGTAGAGCTAGAAGAAGAAGAAGATTCTCATATACTTTTGTTTGATTATTATTTACCCTATCTTTAAGTTCTATAGATGTTTGGAGTGTTAGACAAAACATGTTTGTGAGTGAGTGACCTCAGCAATAAGGCCACGGCCGGTGAGATGACATTAGTCTAGGCGCAACCTATAATGACGTCACATGAATTTCGCAAACATTTGACTAAAAATGCAATCGATAACATATTGATTAACGGTTTCGACACTATTAAGGAGTTTTATTACATAAGAGCGTCGGTGGCTCAGGAGTGAAGCACTTGACTTGCAATCTTCAGCTCCTGGGTTCGAATCCCAACATGTACCAATGTGTTTTTCGATTTCCGATTTACATATATTTATTTACATATATGTACATTTATCCAAAGTTCTTACGTTAAAGGAAAACATCGTGATTCAATATGTACACATCTGAGAAGAAATTAAAGATATCTGTGAAGTCAACCAACTCGCACTTGGCCAGCGTGGTTGACTATGGCCTAATCACCCTTAACTTAGGGTAGGCTCCGAGCCCCACAGTAGGGACGTATAGTGAGCTGATGATGATTACATTTGTAACCTGTTTTGTTATAAGCAAACGAATATAATTGATATTAAACCATCTCATTCTGTAGACATCCAATATAACTTTCTTTAGATCAACTAATGTGTGGGTAAGCCCAAGAATTCCACATCATTGATGCATATTTTCATCTCTTACAATTTCTTTGACAAAAGAGAGACAACAATACGAATACGAGTTTGAAATAGTTTACTAATTAAAAAACTAAAACATACTCTATAAAAAGGTTCGATACTTCAAAGTGAATGCGATAAGAAAAATTTAAAATGAACAACACACGCCTCGTTCTTGATAAATAATTCATGTTGCTCTGATGGAGTTGACGATATCAACTCTCTATTAATACATTCAATAATTTAGACGAGGGTTACGTTCGAGGAATTGAAACAATTGCCCAGACGCGATCGATCATACAAATGCGATTGCTTAGGAGTTGCGCACACGTATGACAGTGAATTAAAGTTGTAACACGCGCAATGCCACGACTATTTTACATATTAATGTGTAGACAAGTCTGCAGCAGTCAATGTGTTAAGGACTTCAGATTGATTATATTAATATTTTTATTTAAATTTTAATAATATTAAGTGTAATTAATAAACCTACTGTTGCCCGCGAATCTGTCTGCTCGGAATTAAATAAACTTGATTAGTAGCCAATGTCTCCTTCCCGACTATGTCCTACTTCGATGCCACATATCATTAAGATCCGATTAGCCGTTCTGCAGATATCTTCTAACAAACATCCATCCAAACATTCGCATTAATAATATATGTAAGAGTAAAACTACGTATAAGATAATATCACTTTGCAAAACCATAATACGTAAGTATATATTTAATATTAACCGTAGTATCTTA